AATTTTTCTAATATCCGCCAGTAATTAAATGATGTGTCGGATATAATTTATCCGACACGATTTTCTAATATCCGCCACCATCATCCGCCACCTAAAGCTAATAATGTAGTAATGCAATGGGCATGCTACTGCGCTTGAACTTTAAAGTAGAAGCCATGGTGTAGATATATAGATAGAGAGAGAGCGAAGGAAATTAGGAACTGAGAGTACTATATTCTTGCAGGTTGGAGATATATATAACACAACTTTTCTATGCGTAACTTAAGCAAGTGAAAAACCCTAGAAAAAGGAAACTTGGATAGAAGTAGAACTTCCCATTACTATTCGTAATTTAATTAGGGCTGAGTCGGGTGACCCTCGTGTCCTGGTAGATAATTAAATTAAGGGACACGTTGGATGCGGTCCCTAGCTATCAATATTTTTTTATTGAAACCTTGTTAGTTTTTAGTTTTTGATTGAGGTCCCTGACATTAATGTAATAATGTAAGTTACTATATTTTTTTAATTAAAAATTAAAAATTGAAATTTGTAATTGTTTATATTAATGAGATTTTAAATAGAACCCATAATTTATGGGATTAAAAATAATAAAATATAAATTATACTCTCTATTATATTGTGTGTGTGCGTGTGTGTGTGTGTATATATATATATACATATATGTATGGGTACATTAACCAAAATTAACAAAAAAAGTTATTGTACCAAAACATGGATACATTCTCAAATCAATGAAAAAGAATGTACCCATATAAGTTTAAACATGGATTAAAAATTTTGAATGGATTTTATATTAAAAAAAAAGGTACATTTTACATATAACAAATTGATATATTTGAGAATGGGTACATTTAAGATTAAAAAAATTGAAAAATTATATGAATGGGTACATTTAAGATTAAAAAATTGAGAATCTTTTTATATATAAAAAAAACTAAAAGGTACAAACTTAATTTAATTTAATTTTTTATTATTTTGGAAATGTTTGAATTGAAAATTAATTAGAAGTTTAATAGAGGTGTGAGTATTAAACCCTAAATTAATTACTAATTTTTATATTAAAAATTTATATAATAAACAAGTAAATTCATTATCACATTAATGCTAGGGACTTGAATCAAAATTTGAGAACTAATAAGGTCTTAGTCAATAAACAGTAAAAACTAGGGACCGGATACTAATTTTTCCTTAAATTAATTATCCTTAGGCCATTTTAATAATGCCTTGGGAAACAAGGATTAACAGTAGATAATTAAACCAATTACAATAAGGTTTCTACTCAATATATATAGTTTCAAAAGATTAACATCATCCAATTATATAACATAAGATTTAATAACAAAACACAGCCCCATGAATCGAAAATTAAGAGAGAAGTTTAGAATGCTTCACTATGTACATATAAATAATACATCCACGTTTCATTTGTAAGAGGACATTACTATATTTCTCTAGAAGTAGAAATTCTTACATTTTGTCAATCGCGTACATTTTTCTCATACGTATCAAATTTTGATAGAAAAGAATATGGAATTTTCTAGTTTCAAAGAGAAGGAGGATATGCCCATAACTAGCGAACACCTTCTCTCTCTAGTTCCAAAACTATGCTTGTAAATATAAAAAAAAACTAAAAAAAAGTGTGTGGCATCTTCATCCAATGGAGACATTCGCTTTCTAACAAGACAATGGAAAGATTGAACTGTTGTGTCAACTTGTCATTTCCCCGGCGATGAATATCATTTTCATTTTCCTTTAACTTAAGTACTTAAAAATCGTCTTTTGTTCTTCTGTTATAGCCAACTTGATAAGTCCAAGTCTGTTTGAGTAGTTTTTTATGCTTTGACACTGTTGCAGACAAATGGATACGAAACTAATGGGGTCATGATCTTCTCAGCGGATGCTTCTTCTAAAAACAACTTTTACTATGAGAGAAAATCACAAGCTTTCTTGCTTAATTCTATTACTAATAGTTCTAACTATTTTAAGCACCTGATTGAAATATATATACTTAGCCTCCTCGCATGTGGTCTCACTCATGCAAGAGCGTATAGTTATTTTTTTCATTTGTAATTTGTTTCGTAAGTTACGTATGTTGTAGTTGGAATTTTTCTTTTTCGTTGCATTAGTTTTCTATGTATTTCTGCTAATAAAAGTAAGGCTATCATTCTTAATATATTAACCCATCTCTTTTGTTCTTATGTTCTACCTACTCGTTCTATGGACAAGATTATCCAACTTCGGCTGCCATAGATTGCTAGAGACACTGCTGTCTATAAATAGCCAACATTTACATCATGACTAGATAGAAAATATAAAGTGGGATGCGGGAACAGTGTAAGAGATTCAAAATTTGATTGATTCAACAAAATTGTATTGAATAAAAAGTACATATACAACAGTAACCACTCCAAAATTTCAAGGAGGCAAATTAAGTGCAAAGCGAGGAACACATTAAGCCACTCGGCATACGGACACCATCATCACAGTTGCCTTTTGGCCTGGATTACATTTTCTTATAATCTTAATTGTTTTCTTGTAGCAGCTCCCATCACCGCCAGGGCTGGCCCTTTTGCGAGGGAAGGCACTGGACCTCTGCGGCTGTGCTGGTTTGCACTCACTAGCTCTGCGCTTATTGGAACCATGAGCCGCTTGAAAGCGTCGTCTCAAAGATTTGTCGTAAGCCTCTCTTTTTGCTGGGTCAGAGAGAACGTCCCACGCTGCCTTAACATGCTTGAAAGCACCCTCGGCGGCCATTGATCCATTCTTGTCGGGGTGCAAGGTAAGTGCCAATCTCTTGTATTGTTTCTTGATGGTTTCCGAGTCAGCAACTGTAAGGTTTTCGATGCCAAGAACACAGTACAAGTTTTCCTTGTGTGACACGGCAGAATGAACTTGGTATGCATTCATGTAGTTTTCGATACCATACAAATCTGGATCGAACTCTTTCGCTGCCTTGGCTTGCATGATTGCATATTCGAAGTTTCCAAGTGTGAAATAAGCTTCAGCAGCCTCTCGGGCCTTGACCGCTGCTGTCTGCGCTAGGTTGGTGATGTGATCAGGACACAATGCTTGAGGAATGGAGTTGCTGGGGATTCTGCTGCGGCCAATGGCCATGCTACTGCGCTTGAACTTTAGAGTGGGAGCCATGGTGCAGATATATCGATCGAGAGAGAGAGAGTGTGGTAAAGGAAATTAAGAACTGAGAAGGTAATATATTCTTGCTGGTTGGAGATATGTATAGCACAATTTTCTACGCGTAACTTAAGCAAGTGAAAAACCCTAGAAAAAGGAAACTTGGATAGAAGCAGAACTTATCGTTACTATTCCTAATTTAATTAGGGCTGAGTCGGCTGACCCTCATGTACTGGTAGATAATTAAATTGATTATCCTTGGGCCCTTTTAATAATATTGCCTTGGGAAACAAGGATTGCCAAGTAGATATTTAAAACAATTACAATAAGGTTTCTGCTCAAAATATATATAGTTTCATCAAAAGATTAACACCACCGAAATTGTATAACATAAGATTTAATAAATAATACATCCACGTTTCATTTGTAAGAGGACATTACTAAGCTAGTTCTCTAGAAGTAGGAATTCTTACATTTTGCCAATCACATACATTTTTTGCGCACATGTCAAATTTCGGTAGAAAAGAATATGAAAATTTCTAGTTTCAAAGGGAAGGAGAGACATGCCTATAGCGAACATCTTCTCTCTCTAGTTTCCATATCTATGCTTGTAAATATAAAATAATAATAATAATAATAGAAGGTGGATGGGAAACATATAGGAACTAGGGGTGGGAATAGCACAACTTTTTCTTGTTCCAATGAAACCGAATTGAATCTTGAATCTAAAGAAAGTTGTTGCTTAACCAAAAAATTAATTGACGAGGATTGCTTGCTGGTGGTTGGATCCAAATTCCTTAGCTCATGAAGTGTCTTAGGCATCGCCAAGAGTCCAACAAAATTGTCAAATGAGTCTTCAAAGTTAGAAAATATCCTACACTCTCTATATTAGAGAGTCTATATCCCACTTTTATGGTTATTAAAAGTTGTCTTTGTTAAAGCTTACTAATATGAAACTAAAGCAAGAAGGTCCTATGATGGAAAATAATAAGTACTTAGACTTGTGGAGTATATATGTTGGAGCAAAATTGTGAATCAACAAATTTTAGTCTTCAAACTGTCAAGCGTGTCAACAAATTGTATTTGAAGAAGGGTAATCTTAGGGAGTCTCAATTTGTAGACTAAATTTTGTAAACTAAATGCGTCACATCCCGGCCCGAACCCCCATTACATCCCGGACTCAACTCCGCCGAAGCACGATATTGTTTGCTTTAGGCCCCGACCACGCCCTCATGGTTTTGTTTCTGGAAACTCACACGAGAACTTCCTTGTGGGTCACCCATCATGGGATTGCTCTCGCATGGACTCGTTTAACTTCAAAGTTTCGATGGAACCCGAAGTCAGTGAATTCCCAAAAAGCCTCGTGCTAGGTAAAAATGGAAATATACATATAAGGCTTACGGGATCCACTCCCCTGGGCGATGTGGGATATTGTTGATTAACGTTCTTATTTCTTAGTAGTGATATACATCATTTATTTTACAAAATGTAGTATACAAATTTAATCTGCCTAACATTACTCTTTGTATTTGGTTGTTTACTACTCTCGATGTGCAAAGCATGCCTTGCTTTTAGATATTGTTCCTAATAGTTGTCTAAGGGGCTTTTTTCTTTTAAAAATGGGACTAACTTGTGGTTTCGTCACAAAAATTCACTCTTTCTCTTTCGAGGGCCAAAAAGATTAATACACGCTATTAACTTCTAACCATCAAATTTGATAAATCAAACAAAATAGACAGCCAAAATTTAATACAATGTGTGATAAGTTAAAAATAGTGTGTGTTTATCATTCTTTAGTAATAATTTCTAAAAAAGAGTAACTACAAAAGGCAGGTGAAAGTGAAAAAACATGGAGCAAAAAATCAGGTGAAACGACTCCGTTTGGCTCGTGGTCACCACATTGATAACCTTCCCAGCTAGACCAGAATTGGGCGAGTGACAAGTTAACGTAGCCATCGGGGCGAGTAGAGCGAGGCGGAAGAACTCAGTGAGTCGAGTTTTGGGTTTTCGGAGGAAGAAATGTCGTTTATTCAGCGGGCAGTGAAGGTGCCACCGAACTCGGCGTCTCTGGACGAAGCCAGGCACCGAGTCTTCGACTTCTTCAGGGCCGCCTGCAGATCCATCCCCACCATCATGGACATCTACAACCTCGACGACGTCGTTGCGCCCTCTCACCTCCGCTCCGCCGTCGCCTCCGAGATCCGCAAGAACGCCTCCGTCACTAACCCTAAGGTCCCCTTCTCCCTCTCTCTCTCTCTCTCTTCAAATTATACGATACGCTGCCGTTTTAATCATCTGAAATTTCGAACAAGGAGTAAAATGTCTGGAATTTCATATTTCGCCCACGATGAACCTTCATTTTGCAATCAAATTGGGGATTTTTGAATACAGTACGGTCTTCCAATCTTGTATTCGGTATTGAATTTTTCTGCTAAGTATTTACATAAATTTGGGCAGAAGGTCAAGGATCGCGTCGAATAGGAATGATTTTAGATGCTGCATTTTCTGTTGGTGTCAAAATTTCCACGTAGAAGTAGCTGAGCTTTTGGGAAATAGTGGTTAATCGAAAAATCTTAACATTGTATCGGAGCAGAAGATGCAAGCTCGAACTTTTGCTAAACTTTCATATTCATATTAAGTTTCACTTTTTGGGATCGATAGTGGTAATGGGAGGTCACACGTTGAGGACTTTATAAGATGCAAGCTCGAACCTTTGCAAAACTTCCACATTTATACCAAGATTCACGGTTTTGGGCTCAATACTACATCCTAAACAAGGGAGAATCATTTTGAATATATGTTGTCCGACGTCCTAACATCTTAAATCTTTTAATTTGTGGGGATATTGGATTACCGAAAACATATAATGGTTAGATTTCTTTTCGGTATTCAATATGGTAAGGATTTCTCAGTGTTAGCAGCAATCAATTTATGTGATCTGTTGTAATATAAGCAGGAGTTTGTGGGTAAACCCCACACATTGGATTGCAATACACATGTATAGGTAATTAGGTTTTGATAATTTGTGAAGATAAATCCTTTCTGTAACTTTTTTTCAGCTATTCCTTCTTGCGCTTAGGTTATCATCTGTGTGATGTCTCGTTTCTCTGTAATAAACTTCACACAGTTTGCATCTCTATATGTTTGTGGAAATGATTATACTAGGCTAAAAACAAAGCTTTCATTGAGTTTAACAATTGAATGAAATGAGTCATTCGTGTGATGCACTTTGACATTGTTCGGTAGTATGCAAATTTAATGTGTTGAATAAATTGCGAAGGGTTTCTAGTGAGTTGGTTGTATATCAAGTTGTGTCTATTTGGTACTAAATCAGAACTGTGGAAAGAATAACCTGGAATTTCATTACTATCCATACCTACTTGCTGACGCGCTTCATGTTAATTTGATTTGTGACTTATAAAAACAATTCTCATTTTGTGGATGGTATGGAAATGCAGGTCATCGATATGCTGCTCTTCAAGGCAATGGAAGAGTTGAATAACATCACCGAGCATGCAAAGCAGCGACACCACATCATTGGCCAGTATGTGGTTGGTCACCAAGGGCTTGTCCAGGATTTGGGCACCAAAGATCAGGGGGCCTCTGCTTTTCTCAAAGATTTTTATAAGAGCAATTATTTTTGAATCTCCGCTATTCCCTGGATTGTGCTTCCGTGGGACTTTGCTTTCGGGGCTGTTAAATAAAGGTGTACTTGACAATTTTTTTGCATCTTTCTGTTGGATATAGATCGTCAAGGTCACTGGGTCAAACCTCAGTTGCTGTTGTTTAAGAAGTCATTAATGTTTTGACAAATGAAGAAACAAGATAACAGTTATGTCATTGGATGAGCATTGTAGCTTATTTTGCTGTTTTTTTTTTATGCTGTAAGGTTCTTTTGAGAGCCTTTCTCTGAGTTTATAATCTTTTCTGCGTGCCTTATTTGTTGGGAGGTTTTCCCATTTTTTCCAGCCAAACATTTTGATAAGAAACTTATACAATGTCCTTGAATTGAATTTAAGAGTCTCGTTATCTTAGTCACCTAGTGATCAATGATTAATGGTGTAGGTGGATCTGCGACTCCCGTTCATTTGGTCATGCAATTTTGAATTGATATCAAGGGTTTGAGATTACTGACGCTATAAGCGCGTGTATTCTTCACCCTTCGATATCAAATTTAACAATGGGTGATCGTGCATTTTTTGGTCGTCAAGTGACTCAGAGAGCATTTCTAAATATATATATATATATATATATATATATATTACAAACAATATTATTTATACTATGATGGTGGGGAAGTGAGCTAAGTTTTACAATGAGCTAGTAATAATGTGATTTAAGTTCGTATTTGGTAAGAATTGAACCTAAGATTCTTATTTTATAAGTGAAGATGAATATCATTAGACAGTAGTACTAAGTAACAAATATTGTACTATATAAATTTTGGTAATTGATTTTCTTCAATTCATTCGATCTGATGGCCAAACATTAAGAGGTGTGTGAAAAGTAAAAATAGGTGTGGATAGCACTACCCTAAATTACATTCTACCCCTTAAGTTTGGGTGAAATTGAAACCTCATACATATTTTAAAACATTTTAATTTCATACATTTAGCTATTATTTCATTTCAATTTCATACAACTGGTAGAAACTTCTGAAATAATTTGTAAAGCTATTATTTCATTTCTGTTAGTTTCTTCGCAATTTGCCTATGTAAACATCCCGTTATGTGCTTCTCCTGGAAAACATGTGTTTTTTCAAGATTTATTTAAACTTTTACTAAAGATAAGTTCCAAAATTATTTTCAAAAACAATTTTACCCATTTTAAAAGCATTTATAAACGAGCTATATACCATGACAATATTTTGTGCATCTCGGTTGGAGTAAGGATTCTCGTTGGATCCTCTTTGTGAGGATCTCGAGATCGTCAAATCATATATGTTCATCATACATCGTGCAGTCAGAAATCATTGTAAATTTTTTTTATTTAAAATTGAATATAAACAGTACCTAACAAAAATTAATCTAGAATGTACGATAAATAAATGTAATTGAAGAATTTTAAGATCCTCACAAAAAAAAAAAATCCGACTAGAATGCTCTCTCTCGGTTGTGCTCAACTGGTGCATTATAAGCGAAGATTTGGCTGTACTGAAACTGATACGGTTTTCAGGGAAAGCAAATAAACAAATCAACAGACAATGTCAAAGCACTCAACTTTAGGGAAAAAAAAAATCAATTAAAAATTATTTAATTGTCCTGGGAAAGCACTCTTTTTTTTTTTAAGGAAAACTAATGAAAAAGGTTTGAAAACTTTGAGTTTTAATGATAAGTACAAAATAAAGGGTAAAGTGAATAGTATCAGGATTGACTTTCTAGTGTAAAAATATGATTTTTCATTAAAGTAAACAGTACCGGGAGCTTTTCGTTAAAGTTCTTTTTTTTTTATTTAATTACTTTTTATTTTTTACAGAAGCAGACGCCTAGAGATTGCGGCAAGTATTCAAACGTAACGTATGCACAGTTCTTCCTGTAACGTTTTCCATCGTCATCAGTGCAACTTCCGAGTGGGTTTGGTTAAAATATTTTTGTGTTTTTTTTTTTTTTCTCAAATATTTTTGTGATATTTGTTGGTGAATATTGAATAATAGAATTTCACAATCATAGTTTAATGAAAATGTCACATTCTTGGTTGTTTTTCTTATTTATCGAAATAAAAGGTGAGATTGAAATTGAGAGATTTATTTGATATTGAAAATAACAGTAACAATATCCGATGTCACTCAATGCATCTTTGCTCACCTTGTAAAGTGCTAGTCATGCTCAACGCTTTTGAATTGTCGTTAGATTAGTTTAAATTTTGAAATTCGTGTCTAAAGTAATTAAACAAAACTAATCTAACGGTTATTAATGAGTGTGAGTATTATCCCCACTTTTCCGGATTGATGATGCTAAGGATATATACTTTGAGCCTTAGATGATTTGTCACCATAGAATTTTTTTGTTTTTTAACAAACGATATTATTTACTCTAAAAATGAGGGGTGGGCTTAGCCTCATAATGAGTTAGTAATAATGTGATTCAGATTCACCTTTGGCGAGAATCGAACCTAAGACCTATCACTTATAAGTGAAGAGGAATACTACTGGACCGTAGCACTAAGTAGCGTCACAATAGATTTTCATATATGAGTTTTGAGTTAAGGGGAAGCTCTTATTAGCACTTTCTAATAATTCACTCGACACTCATTTCTACTTTATTTTTGTCGTAAAAAAAAAAAGCAAGATAATTATTTTAAAGTGCTAATATACGAGTTTTGAGTTGTGGGGAACTATTATTGATACTTGTTAAAAAGTCATTCATGACTCTTTTCTACTTACATTTTTCCGTGAAATAGTGCAAGAAAATTACTTTAAAAGTAACCACGAGATGATGGTCCAGTGGTAAATGGCGGATTGTGAGGCTTCATTCAAATTAAAAACTGGAGGTCTTAGGTTCGAAACCCGCTGCTGGTGTAGAAGTCAAACTTGTGGCAGGAGAAGGCTGAAATGTCTTTGTGAGGCTTCCCAGCCCTCAGAAGGGGTGGATAACCGTGACTTGCCACCAGTTGTCCCCCTTAAAAAAAAAGTAATTTAAAAGTAGTAACAATAATTCCCAATGATCAATATGGAGACCTTATATAGAAAACCCTAACCGCTTTCTCATTCTCCCTATCAAAGCTCTAGATCTAAAAGATTCATAACCGCTGACCCCTTGCTTCGTCTTGGGGTATATGCAATCCCTATCTCCATCCTTATAGCCTTCATCCTTCCTATGTTCATGGATTGCCCTAGATTTGTTTTTCGTTTAGTATTTCCGTCACAAAGTGTCTTTTTAGTAAGATTATTTGTGAGTGTATTTTGGTGAGTATTTTAGTTCTATGTTGGTATGTCTTCAACTTCTTGTGGGTCTACCTTGCTGTTTTTGGTAGCTTCATTGATGTTATTAAGCGAAAATCATGTTTGGATAGACACTAGTTGGTTCGTTGTTAGTTCTATTCAGAGCTTGGCGTTGCTTGTTGTCAAAAAGTGTCCTCATGTTTATTATCTTGCAATTTTTGTGCGTGAAATTTCTCAAATGTCAATTCATGAAATATTTGACTTTTTCATCAGGTATGAAGTTTATTTGGTTTTGCTTATCTCAGTCCTCTGAGTTTTGGTGTGAATGATTTCAAGATTTGGATGTGTTTCCATGCTTATTCTTGTACATATCTTGTTCCTCCCAAATGTACCACAATGGTGACTATTAAGTTGGCCAAATTGACATTTTATGTTTTGTTGAAATCTTTTTAAATTGCGGATCTCTTGGATGTTATTCAAGATGTCTTCTTTAATATGTATATTAGTTCTTAATTAGTTTTTTTATTTTTTATAATAAATTGTATGAAGATTTTGGTGACTATTTGTCAAAATTGTAGGGGAAATTATAAATACACAAATTTCTTAGCCTTTCAAACATTTTGTTTAATTAAGTTCATTGTTTTTAGTTGATTAATTAATTTGATGGTTAGAAATGAAATAAAGATGTGTGAGAAATTATAAACGATGTATTCATAAAATAAAAAAAAATGTATGATAAACTAAAATGATATGAAAATATTTTTCATATCATTTTAATATCAGCTTCCATTTATAAATTGTCTAAATCAAAATATTGCTCGAATAAAAAAAATTCAATGTATTCCCTTTGGGAGAAATTGACCATTGTATCTGGGAAACTACTGACAAATTCAAGTACCAAATTAGGGGGTTCCCTTCTTAAAAGCACCCCCAAGAAAATTAATTTAAAAATATGTTTTTGGTTTGCCATAATATATGCATTATTACTATAATTCTTCTCTTTTTTTATTTTTTGGCTCTCTGGGAAAGACCAAATTTTATGCTCCCTCAAGTGGAAAGTGGGTGGAGCCCCCCGTGTCTCTCCTGAGTCAAAGTTTTTAGGACATGCGTTGTTGATGCAGTAGATACTGTGTTGAATTCAACCTCCACCACCCCAGAAGAGTAAAGTGGTGGCGGAGCAGTCGCTTCCTCCTCCTGATCGCCGCCGCAAGGTTTCAAAGTTAGCTCCTTTTCCCCTTCAATTTCGTTTCTACTTCGAGTAATGAAGTTTCCCTTTTGGGTTTTTCCTGAATTGAGTTTCTTTGTTTACTTTCTGGGTGTAGATATTTTTCTCCTCTTTCTTCGTTTTTGCTCATTTGGCCGATACCAAACAAGTTTCAGCCGCCATCAGAGGGTTGGAATCCCAAAAGGGTCATCCTTTTTGCTGGTTCTGTATCAAATAGTGGTATTGAGAAGTGGGCAGAATCCGCCATGGCTGATGGCAGTCCTAGGACTGATATCTCTACAGATGTGGATACAGATGATAAGAATCAAAGGGTACTCTCTCCCCCTCCCTCCCTCCTTCCTTCCCTCTCTCTCTCTCTCTCTCTCTCTCTCTCTCTCTCTCTCTCTCCAAGTTTTGGTAATACCAACTATTAAGAATCATTTTGTTATGCTTGAGGTCAATAGCCATTCTTCATTTTTGCTGAGTTAGATGTTAACTAGTATTTGTTGCCCATCCTGACATTTTGATCACTCTGTATGTGCAGTTTGATAGAGACCAATATGCCATTGCTCCTGTGGCTTCTGATTCCAGTGACAAATCGAAAGATCCAAAAGATCAGAAGGTGATGTATATGAAATCGATGATATGTGTGTTGAACAGCAAGGGTATGATGCTTATATGTTTGATTGCATTTTGCAGACTCTTCGTAGGCTGGCTCAAAATCGTGAGGCTGCGAGAAAAAGTCGGCTGAGGAAGAAAGTAGGCCATATTGCACTTTCTTTAAGTTCGTTATCTTTATTCATTTGCTGAATTAAATTTCTGCTGCAGTTTGCCTTGATATCTTTTTAGCTTTAC